TGGAGAAGTCATTGTGAAAGGTCGTGATGGTGCCACAGGGCCGTAGAGACGGCCCTGGCCTGGGGTCCTTGTGTCCTATTTCAGGCAATTCGGTTCGACAGATACTTACTGTGTACATTGTGCCAGACAGTGTGCAAGACACTAGAGATAGAATAGAAAATGTCTTAGGAGCCTCAACTTCCCCACCTGCAAAGTGACGCTAATGTAGTGAAATGGTGCCCAGCTGGAGGGGGTGTGATGTGGTGGTGCCCAGCTGGGCTTTGGGGTCAGACCAGAGCTGTCCTGGCTGCACCACTTACCCGCAGTGTGATCTGACCCAAACTCTCGGTAGCTTCCTTAGCTGCAACGTGGGAAGAAGGACACTGCTTACACACTGGGATTCTTTATGATGATGAAGGGAGTTGTGGCTTAGTAACATGCCTGGCCCATAGTAAGTGCAGAAAAATGCTACAAAAATAAATAAAATCCCCCTTCTTTTTTTGTGTGTAACCAAAGAGCCTAGCCCACAGCAGGACCTAAAATACATCCATGGAGGTCAGGACTGTGGATCAGAAAGGTCACTTTTGCCCGTAAGCAATGGAAAACCAACCTGAACCAAATTAAACCATAAGCACACTCTCCTGCCCTCCTACAAGATAGTTCACAGTCTGGGGTTGGGCGGCGGGGGGGCTTTCACGGTTAACAGAAACCACTGGGCCTGTCTGGGGCCCATCAGTTCTCTTGGCTCTGCCGTTCCCAAGCAGGTCGTGGGATAGCTGGAGGCGTTCTCAAGGCCACACAGGGCAATGCCCAGAGGAAACAAGAAGGGGTGGTTTCTAGTTTTCCCAGAAAAGAGAGGAGGAAGTGTTCCCGGGTCCACAGATAATCTCTCCTCTCGTCTTAAGAGCCCACAGAGTCACATTACCATTCCTGAGGAACCAGGGGCCAGTTAGATTCATCGGGGTGAAGGGGTCAGGATCTGGAGTTGAATTCCTCTTCCCCTGAAGGGAGAGCTCTAAGGCCGAGGTACCCAAGCAGAGTCACGGATCCTCGGATGGAGGAAGGGGGTAAATAGATGATCGGCCGGTGGCCACTTCTGTTGGAGACTTTTGCTGGGGAAAAGTCTCCAGGGGCCAGATGCTGAAAATAATCATTCATAGTAATGGTTCTTTAGTCTTGTGGCCTCCGGTAATTTCCAGAGGAATTGACTTCCAGCCTATTATTTCCAGAATCTTTAAGGGGAGATTCCCAGCCTCCATTGTGGTGACCAACTTTCCAGAGCTTGCTAAAACCTCATTTTATCATTGGTTTCAATTTCCTTTCTCAGCAAACTGCTCTGGCTGTGCGGTGGATTGAAAAGGGCTGGATCCTATTAACAAGTGCGAATCCTTTAGGCCACAGGTGGCGAACACAAGGCCCGTGAGCCGAATCCGGCCCTCCACCTTGCTTTACCCAACCTGCACCTTGTTACTGCCCGGTGGCAGTGCCAGGCTCTCGCTTAACAGTTAAGGAGTCCGTCCTAAAATCACGTTCGGCCCATTGAAGGCAACCGTTAGGCTAATGTGGCCCCTGGTGAAAATGAGTTGGACACCCCTGCTTTAGGCAAAAGCCAGCCTGATCTGAGCCCAGCTGCTAAAATTTTAGATCTTAGAGATTATCTGGTCCAGCAGTTCTTAAATCCTTGGACAAGCAGAGTGGTGGGGTCAGCGTATCCCCTGAAGTTGTAGGCAAATTTGTGCTCTATAGCTCCCAGCACATTCTTAAAAGGTCTGAGACCCAAACAGATTGGAGTCCAGCTTCTCACTTACAGACGAGGCAAATGAGGCTCTGAGGGGCGTCTGGTGTGGGGGGAGGGGGACACTCAAGGGCAGTGATTTTAAAACAGGGATTGTAGAGTCCTGAGATGCTTCAGTGATTTTACAAATATTGGATACTATCTTTATTTTTCTTTTTTGTTTATTGGTTTTGCCATTACATTTGTTCTATTCCCCCCCTTCCCCTCCACCCTGCACACCCCTCCCCCACCATTCCCCCCCTTTAGTTCATGAACACGCGTCTCAAGTTCTTTAGATTCTGTATTTCCCCTACTATTCTTACCCTCCCCTATCTATTTTCTATCTACAGTCTATGCTACTTATTTTCTGTACCTTCTCCTCCCTTCTTCTCCCACTCCCCTTTTGCTAACCCTCCACGTGATCTTCATTTCTATGGTTCACTCCTGATCTAGCTGTCCTCTTAATTTGCTTTTGTTTTAGGTGGTTGTTGATAACTGTGAGTTTGCTGTCCTTTCACTGTTCATCTTTTTTAATCTTCTTTTTCTTAGGTAAGTCCCTTTAACATTTCATATAATAAGGGCTTGGTGATGATGAACTCCTTGAATTTGGTCTTATCTGAGAAGCACTTTATCTGTCCTTCCATTCTAAGTGAAAACTTTGCTGGATAGATCAATCTTGGATGTAGGTCTTTGGATTTCATGACTTGGAATACTTCTTTCCAGCCCCTTCTTGCCTGTAAGGTGTCTTTTGAGAAATCAGCTGACAGTTTGATGGGAACTCCTTTGTAGGTGACTGTCCCCTTAGCTCTTGCTGCTTCTAGGATTCTCTCCTTCATTTTAATCTTGGCTAATGTAATGATGATGTGCCTTGGTGTGTTTATTCTTGGGTCCAACTTCTTTGGGACTCTCTGAGCTTCCTGGATTTCCTGGAAGTCTGTTTCCTTTTACAGATTGGGGAAGTTCTCCTTTATTATTTGTTCAAATAAGTTTTCCACTGGTGGCTGTTTCTCTTTCCCTTCTGGTACCCCTATCATTCGAATGTTGGAATGTTCAAAGATGTCCTGGAGGTTCCTAAGCCTCTCCTCATTTTTTTGAATTCTTGTTTCTTCATTCTTTTCTGTTTGATCATTTTTTTCTTCCTTCTGGTCCACTCCATTGATTTGAGTCCCAATCTCCTTTCCATTACTATTGGTTTCCTTTGCATTACCATTCATTTCAATTAGTTTAGCCTTCATATGTTCCTCTAATTTGTGACTAAAATCAACCAGTTCTGTGAGGATCCTGATCACCAGTGTTTTGAACTGTGCATCTGAAAGATTGACTATTTCTTCATCGCTTGGATTTATCGGCTCTGAGGCTCTGAGTTGTTCTTGAGCCATGTTTTTATCTGTTTGTGCCTGTTACATATGAGGAGCGGAGCCTTAGGTGTTCACCAGGGCGGTGCCACCCAGGTCACTGGTTTGTGACGCTGTATGTGGGGGCGGGGTCAGAGAGGGAGCAATGGAGGTCCTCTCCTCTGCTCACCCAGTCTGCCTCTCCACTCACCCTCGCCTGTTTATCTGAGCAGAAATGTGCGAACCCACTGCCCTGCGCTGTGCGGTCTCAATGCTCACCTCTTCACTGGTTTATCTGCACGCAAATGCGCGACCTACCGCAGACAGCCAGCCGCGCCTCTTCCCTGTGTCCACCCGTACCTAGCCAGTACCTGGGATCCGCGCCTTCGGCTGCTTGCGCACCACCCCGGTCGGGGATCTTTTTGGCCAACCTGCTCCGCTGCTGGCTTCACCCCTCTTACCGGTTTAGCTGAGCATTTCGTTGTTTTCAGACTCCATATTGTCGATTTTCTTTGTGGTTTGGTTGCGTTTATTGTTGTTAAAACTTTGTTGTTTTTAGATTTGGTTGTGTGTGGATGCAAGGTGTTTCCACCCACGCCTCCATCTTGGCGGAAGTGCATACTATTTTTAAAGTGATAATAAATATCAGACACTTGAAAGAAAATGGAGAAATTAATGGAATGTAGAGCCTGAATTAAGACTATAACTGTCTTTTGTAACTCTGATTGGTTTTTAAAACTATTGGTTTTGGTACTATTGGTACTATATAGTACTATTGGTACTATTGGTTTTTAAAACAGCTTCACCGATTCACATGAACAAATGTTAGGTGTGTGGATTTAAGAATTTATCCTAATAAAAGACACTTTAAATCTTTTCCCAATGTACGGTTTCCCTTAGAAAAAAGGGTGTGGGGGCGACTGCTGCTAAAAAGAAGATAGAAAACTGTGGGTTCACTATTTACCAGCTGAGCAACCTTGGGAAGACCTGGCACTGTGAGCATCACAGAAATAACACGGTGTGAAGGGCTCCGGAAGCTCAGAGGGCCGTGAAACTTGGGTTTCCTCCAGCTCAGGCTAGTGTGTTGTAACATTTGATGGTTACAAAACCCCAGTCTCCTCCCCTCACTTGGACTCCACTTTGGCCTCAGTCCGATGGCCTAAAGCTAAAGCTGAAATGAACTCTGACAGTCTTGCAAAGTCATTTTTTACACATACAGTGACCACCCCCGGTGGTGCGTGTATGGGGGTGGTGGAGGCAGGCACTGTCCCGTGAAGACGCATTTAGACACCTCGAGTCTTTGGCCTCAGACAGTCCATGTTTAATCCCAGCCCTGCTCCTTACCGACCATGTGACTGGAAGTTTTAACCTTTGAGCTTCAGCGTCCTCATCTGTAAAATGAGGACAATAAAGTATCTTCACCAAGTTGTCTTGAGGATAAAATGATAGAATGCCTGCGCAAGAATTTGAGCCCGGAGCCAGGGACCTGCTGCTCCACACACAGTAGCCATCGATTCCAGACGGTTCTTCAAAGGTGGAATGCTGCAGGTGACGCCCACTGGTTTTACATCATCGATTTCTCCTTTGTAAGTCAAGGGTCTGCCTGTGCGAGCAGCTGGGTGGCAGCAAGAAGTGAGTCCTCTCTTGCTTGCATTAAGGCAAAGGGAAATTAAACCAGCCGAGGTTTCGGGGGTGCGAGGACTCAATCTCTGGGGAAGTGTGTGGGCAGGTGCACTAGAGCGAGAGGTGCCAGACAAGCTGCTGTAGCCTCTCATCTTCTCCTGGCCCTTGAAGAACACGTGGCCCTCGAAGCCACGGCAGGCAGTGCAGGACTGGAGCATCTGATGTGCCACTTCGGGGAAAGGAAAACCACGTGCACTGGACGCAGGAAGAAACAGGCCCGCACCCGAAGAGTCGGTAAAAGCGCACTCTTTATTCTGTACAGTGTTGGGAAGGGAGGCCACTCGGAACAAACTCTTGCACTCACACCCTCCAACCCCAGGCTTCCTCCCCTGCAGGCGATTTCATTTCAGACTCCTGGGCTAAGAATCCACAGGCAGAAAAGCAGACCCTGTTTGGTACCTGGAGACAGGGAAGCTCAGCATTGTTACTCCAAGTCTGGGAAGGGACTTTCAGCTGCAGTATGTGCTTGCTTCCTGGTCCTCAATAGTTAAGGGCAAACCACCTCACAAAAGAGATAAAATCATTATTTTCAAATTATATACGCCATTTGAGTTTCAAGTCAAAATGCTCCATGTACATCTAATAAACTAAGCCAGGATCCATGGTGGTTCAAGGTTTTTTAAAATAAGCTTGGAAACAGGGTGAAAGGGAGGGGACACTCATTGGCTGGGACTGACAGAAATCCAGCTAATGGCAGACACATCCAGTGGCTTTGGTGAGGGAGCGGCAGGCCTTAAACTTCTGGAGCTGGACTCAGCCGTGAGGAAAACGTGTCAACGTCTGCCAATGCTCATTCTAGGCCGGCACGGAGAATGCCAGGTTGCTCAGGTCACAGGCATCTGTGACACGGGAGGCACTCCCCAATATCACAGATGCAGCGACTGTGGTTCGGAAGGGCCGACCGCTCCCTCCTTCTGCATCAAGAACCTGGGGTCAAATAAAGATCTACATCCATCGACTACAAACATCCTAAGCTCAACAGTGTCTTCCCACGCTCATTGGATGGTATGTGCTTAATATGTTGTGAATTCTTTATACTACCTCATGAATGGGATCTGTAACCAGTGTATTTCACAGTGTACAACAGTTAGTACGTGCAGTGAAATACAATGGTCTCCCGGAGATATTTGAAAAAGTATTAGTCCTTAAGCTATTCAAGTGGCTATAAAAGCAACTGTTTATAGAACTCAGAAAATTTTATTTAAAAAATCAAAACTATTTAGAACCCGTTTTATGAAAATAGGTAAAAGTGAGAAAGGAGCACCTGTGTGATGGGTATCTAGCTGATTTGAATAACACACTACAGAAGATTCGTTTCCTCATAAAGAGACCTAAAGAAGTTAACAAAAAAAATCCCACCATATTATTTTAAAAGAATCTCTATAATAGTGGATTTAAATCTTTTGAAGGTCAGGGCAATCACCTTCATTGATCTTGACCTTCCTCCAGTGCTGTCAGGAAAATGCCTAGTCTCTAGAGAGGATTATTTGAAACGCGGTTCAGAGTAAATGGACGTTACAAAGATTTCCTTAAGTATGATTCCCCAGAAGTAAGGCACATGTGGCCCAGAGAAGCTGGCTGTAGCCTAGGGTCACTGTTTTCTGCAAAGCATTTCTCCAGCCTAGGGCATCAGGGGGTGGTTTCCTTTGGCCTGGCTCCTGGCTGAGAGTGTAGAACGGCTCAGTGAGAGTCAAAAAAAGGGAGTGAGGGTGGGAATTTAACCTGTCACATAATGATGTAAAAATATGAACTTCTCCATATTTAAAGAGCAAGAGATTATCTTACATAAATCTCCCTGTCATATATAGTATTTACAAGCTAATGACCTTTATCTGTTGCTCGGGTCACTACACATTCTAAGAGCATCACACTCAATCTATGGAAAAGGAAAGGGAGGGAGAAGAGTCAAGTTTCCCTCCCCACTCTCTCCCTACGGGTTAAAGGCTAATTTGGTCCCCTGCTTCACGCTCAGAAGGGCAGAGCTCCCCAGTGAGTGAGGCCAGCACGCCTCAGTGTTTTGCCCCCAAAATGCCTTGCAACATATCTATGGGCAGAGGGAAGACAATTGTGGAGTTTTTCTCAGCGGCAATGGTGGTCAGGGTCTGAAGGTAGCGGAGCTGCAGGGCTGCTGGAGATTCGGTGATGACCATGGAGGCTTCTTTCAGAGCCCTGGATGCATTCATCTCTCCCTCGGCCGCAATGACCTGCAGGCAGTGAAAGGAGAGGTCAAACCCGAGAAAGCGGCGGCAGGCGGCCAGCAGCCATCACAGAACTTCCCAGGGAGCATGCCAGCAGAGTTTTGGGGAGGACACACTGAGAGATGACTGAGCAGAGCTGCTTCCGAGTCACAGGGGCTGGGTCCCAGGTTTCTAGGTTTCTAGACCGTGCCATTAGGTGAGATTGGAAATACAGGATACAGTACTTTTTGAGGGCAAGGGCCAAGTTTAGAGGGCCAAACAACTTAATTTATCAAGACACACCCATTATGTCCTACTTAAGTCTCTGAGAAGGGGCAAGTGCTGGGTACACTCAAAGAGAACCCTGTAACTGGTCCAAGGCAGGCACAGCGGAGAGAGCACAAGTAACCGCCTGCCGCGGGGACGGCGAGGTCTGATTCCCCCCATGTTGTCTCAGATTTCCAGCTAGGTACTCTTCTTTTGCTTTTGGTCTGGACATGGACCAACTGCAAACATATCTCACCTCCCACTACCGATCAGTACACAACCTCTCGGCTGGGAAGCAGACCCACTGGGCCGGACACTCCGTTCACAGAAAAGCTGCCCTGAGTGAGCTGCCCAAGATGTGAGCCCGACACCACCGGCCCTGCCTCAACGTAGGCCAAGTATATACACTGTGGATAGGATTTTAGAAGTGAAACGGGATACACGTGGGTAGGTGGGGCTTTTGCCAAATGCACAGTAATCCTGTATCAGTCAACACTTTATATTTGCAGACCATCGGTTTAAAATCTGGCATTTTCAAGTATGTGAGGTTACTGCTGTCTCCTGCTGCAGCCCAGGCGGGCTGGTCGGGAAGAAGGGCAGGACAAATGGCCTGCATTTTTGCATTCCACCCTCTCGCATAAGAGACGGTCAGGCCCAGAAATAGGAGCTTGGAGGCACGTCAGGCAACTCTCATTTTTCTGAGAGTTATGAAAAAGGAAGAAGGAGATTATGTTTCAAGTCATGAGGAGCTGGTCTAAAAACTTTCAAGAAATCAGCTAACTTACTGGTGGGAGAATCTGCCCTGTTCTGTGACAGGCCCCTTTCTCTGAAATCACATCGGCGAGCACTTGCACGTTCATTCACTCTGTTGTAGACCCTCCCTTCACGGGAGTAAGCCACGCTCTCCACTCAGCCAGCTACGGACATCGGGTGGTTTCCAGTGTGGGCAAGTACAAGGTTCTGCTGTGAGTACTGCAGGGCGTGCCTTTTCATAAACGCGTGTGTGCGTTTCTGTTAGGTACATGCTGCCGGACCGTTGTACGGAGGGGTCGTACCAATTTATACTCTAACCAACGGAATATGAGTTCCAGTACCTCCCTCACCCACACTTGGTTCCTTTCTTTCTTTTTAAAGCCATGCTGGTGGATGTCTAGTGTGGCATCTCCTTATGATTTGAATTTATATTTTCCTGAAGCCTAATTAATGGAGGAAGTTTTCTCTGAAATCTCTTAATCTATAGGTTCTCCCATCCTTTGCTATTTATTTGTGGAAGAAACTGACCCGCCCTATTTCCCGTGAGAACTTGAATATATGGTTTTGAATACATGGCCTTATGGATATTGCAGAGTTACTACATGTTACAGACGGGCTGCACTCACGATGGTTCTACATGTGAACCCTCACCTGAAAGACAGACAGAGTCACCGCCGGGGACCACGAGACTGCTCCCAGACCAACCCTACAGCCCCAGGCCACTGGGAGCAAAGTAACTTAGAATTTTAACCAGCTTCATTAATCTCTTATTGTTTCAAAAGGAAATAGGAGTTCTCTTTCCTAACTGGTGAGAACACTTGCAGAAGAGGCTCGGTCCACTCTGGAAAGTTCCAGAGGAGGCCACGGGGCGGGGGCAGAGGGGGCTTCTAATCTCCACCATCACAGACTCTGTGACCTTGAGGAGATCACTTAGCTTTTCTGGGCTTCAATTTTTTTTAATCTGAGCAGTGGATTGGCAAATAAGTTTCATTTTAAGGGCCACTTCCAAGCAGCTGAGGATTGTTACCAAAAGTGCTCTAGAAGGCCAAGTCCAAGCTCGGTGGGAAACAGCGCTGTGGTTAATCCCTGGTATGGGAATTAAGGGTGGAGTAGCAGCACCTGGGCCAGGTGTTTGTCACCTGCAGAAGATAACCTCTATGGACCCTCGGGCCCTGATGTTCCGTGGAGTCTATGTAGGACAAATTCTGTGGTTCAGTATGACTTGGAAATGGGGCTTTTGGTTAATGACACATTGTAGGTCTAAGTGATTCCTAATTTTTTAAATAATCAGATTCTAGTAGGGCATGTTTAATATTATAAAAACACAATTTAGTCTTCTACGTGTGATTTGAAAGAAAGCACTCGAAGGAGCTGTGTCACCCGGATAGCATCACAAGCATCAGTGATCACACTGGAAAAACCTAAAATTTCTGGTTACCTGAAAATTCTGGGTGTATTGTTTCAAATGAGCTACTACTCTATTTGGGGCTGGTTAAGAAATTACACTGACCCATTTGTGGCTTCAAGGGCATCCTAAGGGAAGGGCAGGGTGCTGGGTTAGCCAGTTACCACCAGCTACTGCTGATTTTCTAACAACAAACTGGTTTACTCCTTGTGTCTTGGGAGATCTGTCAGGCCCCCAGAGGCCCCTCCCACCAAACCGCCCGTATTCCTCCACAAGTTCACAGGCCAGGGGCTGTGAGCCCTGATTAGCACCTGACTTTACCCTCTGACCAAGGTTGGGCCAGAGATAATCCCTCTGCTGTGAATTTGGAACCAGGGCTGATCTGTCTCCGTCAGTGTTCAACTAGAGTTGGAAAGTCTCTGCCTCAAACCGTCTGCAGTGAGATGAGGCCCAGGAAATGAAATGACGCACTCCCTTCTGTCCTGACTCCAGTTCTGATGAGGCTCGACTGTACGTCCCGCCCCTGGGTTTGTCTGGTGAGGCAGTCTCGTGTCCTTACGCGGTACCATCTCTGTAGAGCCTCTTTTCTGGGTTAGGTCAACAACTACGGCCTTCAGCACTTCTCAAAGGGGTTGTGCATGTACGCAGGGTTAAGACACAGGCAGAGGTGATGATGGAAAGAAAGAGGGGAAAAGAAGACATCAAAGAAAGAAAAATTAGGCCTGGCTGCTGGGGCTCAGTGGACTGGGTACCGGCCTGTGAACCCAAAGGTTGCCTGTTCGATTCCCGGTCAGAGCACAAAGAAAGAAATTTTTTTATTTTTTTATTTATTTATCTTTAGAAGGGAAGGGAAAGAAAGAGGGAGAGAAGTCTCAATGTATGGTTGCCTCTCATGCGTCCCCTGCTGGGAACTGGCCCCTGCTAGGAACTGGCCTGCAACCCAGGCATGTGCCCTGACTGGGAATCGAACCACAATCTTTTGGTTCACAGGCTCGCGCTCAATCCACTGAGCTATACCAGCCAGGGCTAGAAAGAAAAATTTTTCAAAAAAGGAAAGAGGAGAGAAAGGAAGAAGCAACAGTAAGAAAAAATAAGATGTGGAGAAAAAGGGAGAGAATGAAAGGAGACAACAGAAACGAATGAATGGTAAGCAAACCGGTGAGGCTGCGCATTTGCTCTGATGTCAGATCTGTGAATTTGTCCTCTACAGGGGACTGGGAGAATAAAGCACAGGACACACAGTTAGTAAAAGAACGAGGGAACTCTGGATGTGCCGACATGCCCACGCGGTACTGAGTGAGAAAAGGGGCAGAACAGTGTGTGTGGTGTGACCTACTTCTGTAAAACAAACAGGCCGACGACAGTCTAACAAGCCGGTCAAATAAAACCCAAATAAACCAGAAACGATAACCTGGAAGTAAACACACTAACCCGTGAAGAGTGGTGACCTCTGGGGAGATACAACGTGAAGCGACTGGGGAGGGCTTTCACCTTAACTAAATACTTCAGGAGTATTTCTAATTTTTACAACAAACATGTCTCTCTTTTTTTTAACTAAAAAGAAAATTCAGTAGGAAAAACAAACTACAAAAAATAAAAAAGGTGACCTTGGCTCGGGCTTCCCGGGATGCTTCCGCCTCGGCAGCCATAGCTCTCTGCAGCTGCACGGGCAGCTTCACGTCCTTGATTTCCACTCGCTCCACCTTGATCCCCCATTCATCAGTGGCATCGTCCAGGGTGGTCTGATGGGAAGAGAGAAGACAGGCTAAAATGGTCAGTCCCGGTCCAGGGGCCTAAGGTCGCCGTGCACACTGGGACCTGGAGTGGATAAGGCGCTGGCTCACCGGGGGGCTCACCGATTCGGCTGCTAATAAGCCAAAGCAGGCAAACTTTCTCTAAAAAGGCCAGATGGCGATTATTGGTGTTCTGTCTACTGCAACTATTTTACCCTGCCCTTGCAGATCAAAAGCAGCCATGGATAATATATAAACAGATGGGCGTGGCTGTATTCCAATAAAACTTTCCTTATTAAGACAGGTGGTCAGCCAAGGTCCAAGCTAAAGTGACTGCGTAAGCCACGTTACTTCTTTGTGCTTCGGCTTTCTCCCCTTGCAATGGCAGAAGTGAAATCGTACTATTTATTTCCCATGGTTACTGTTGGTATCAACTAAGATCATAGATTTTACACACAGTGAAGTCTGAACGAATAATAGGAGTTTAGATTTATAGTGCTCTCAAACAGGTCAGGTTTAATGGATCATCTATTACTCAAGCACCGTTGGAAAGCATAAGATTTATCAGGGGGTCGTGGGGCTCTGAGAACACAACTTTACCGACATTTACACTATATAAACAGCCTCTGAATTATTATGGCTAAAGAAAAGGTTAATACTAATTCTGGAAAGATATATACACTGGATGGGAAAAAATGCATGCATCCGAGCATTACTATCCGTGAACTATCTGTGTGGAAAATATCCCCTTCCATCAAGTTTGAGAAAACCTTTCGGTGAGGAACAAAGGGCCAGCGGTCCCCCAACTTCAGTGGGTAAGTTCTCAAACAACCATCGAGTCTCTGCTTCAATTCGCGATTTCTAGTGAGTGGCAGCCTGGAGCACGCCTCACCTGCATGTTGTGTGCGATTTCTTCTCTGTCGGAGAGGATCTGAGAAAGGTTCTTGGTGCCCAGCACATTCCTCAGAGTAGTCTGTGCCAGCAGACGGGTGGCTGAGTCGGCATTGGTGATGTTTGCCACGGCCAGGGTCGCGTTCTGGACGCGGTAATAGACCACACCATCCACGCTGATTGTCACGGAGTCCTTAGTGAGGATCTACGATGTAGAGAAAGCGATTTCATGTCTGCCTGCCAACTCTTTCTTTGATATAACTGTCAGGAATGCTGTCCCATAGAACATCTCGTAACACCGGCTGACTTTCTTTAGTAAGTGCTACTGACTGAAAGTTTGTGGTCCCCCCAAGTTCCTGTGTTGAAACCTAACCCCCAATGTGCTGGTATCTGGTTGGGGAGTGACTAGGTCATGAGGGCAGAACCCTGCCTTCTGACATGTGATGACACAGTGTGACGGTCATTTATGAACCAGGAAGCAGGCCCTTGGCCTCATCAGACACCGAACACGCCAATGCCTTAACCTTGGACTTCCTGACCTCCAGAACCATGAGAAATGAATTTCTGCTGCTTATAAGCCACCCAGACTGTGTCATTTTGTTCCAGCAGATCAGATGGACTAAGGCAGTACAGCATCTGAAAATCTTCAACAAAATACATTCATTTATTCATTAACTCCATTACTTCATTCAACCATTCAACAAATAAGACTCTGTACCAGGCACTGTACTAGGTACCAGGGATAAAGGTATGAAAAATCTTGGTTTCTACTTTCAGAGAGGTTGAGGAGTCAAGAGAGGCTTAAGAAACAAAAAATGAGCAGTTATAGGTGGCAGGGGTGATACTTGAAATGAGTCTTGAAGGAAGGAATAAAAATTTCCAGAGGGTGGAGGGTATAGTGAAAGAGTATTCAAGGCAGAGAAAGCAAAGTGTACGGGAGAACCTAGGTCTATACCTATTACTAGAATTCTAAGTAGTACAGTGTCACTAGAACAAAATGTGAATGGGAACTGCTTTTATAGGCAAGGCCAGGGTAAAGATGTCTTTACAGCGTGCTACATAAGATGCCTCATAGGACAGAAGGTGCGAGTTCTTCCTACCGCCCACGGGGCACAGTCCTCAGTGTGGTACACGAGTCCTTTGCCACCTAGCCCTTTGACTTGTGGCCCTGTGGCCTCGCTCTTCCCTCCCTCCTCCTGCCCACAGTATACGTGATGAGGTGTAGACCTCTGCATGCATCATGTTCCATGTCCCCTGGCCTTCATGAAGATGTCCCCTCTCCATGGATGTCCTGCCCTCTCTCTCCCCCTCATCACATCAGACTGGCACATTCTTACTTGGCATTCAAGACACAGCTCCAGGGTCCTTTTCTCTGTGAAACTTCCCTCATTCACATGGCAGAGCGCGCTCAACCCTTTGCACCTCACTGCAGTGACTTGACTGATTCGCATCATTTCTCTATTAGACTATGAATTTCTTGAGGCATCTGCCTCTATATCTCTATCACCAGCAGAATGCTTGATACATAGCAAGTTGTCAATAAACAAGAGATGAATTAAAATGAAACGTGGTCCTTGGAATACAGTGATTAACGAGGAGCACAGGAGTGACAGGAGACCTGGAGTTTCAACTCTGCCTGTACTTCCCTGGGTGACCTCTAGCTTTTAAACTGTTTGACCCAGCCCTGGCTGCTCTGGCTCAGTTGGTTGGAGCCTTGTCCCGCAAACTGAAAGATCACAGGTTCAATTCCCAGTCAGGGCATGTGCCTAGGTTGTGGGTTCAGTCCCTGGTCAGGTGTTTACAGGAGGCAACTGATTGATGTTTCTCTCTCACATCGATGTTTCTCTCTCTTTCTCCCCTCCTCTCTCTCCAAAATCAATAAATATATCCTCAGGTGAGGATTAAAAAAATTTTAAACTGTTTAACCTAGAGATTCCTCATTTGAGATGGACCTAATAAGACTGCCCAATTCTACACAAATTTCTTTGAAGATCAAATAAGAAAATGTTGGTGAACAAGGCCCTTTTGAAAGTTTTCAGAGCTCTGTAAATGGAAAAATAGTAATGACAATGATATATTACATAGCTGTTTAGTTCTGCTGGGCATCGAAGCATTAATCCTTTATATATATATAAACTTGAAACATAATTCTAAATATATCATTCTAACTTGAAAGAGAAGTGGGGGATTTGTAAATGAATGTATAGTACATCACCATCTTCTGTGAAAAGTAATTCTTTCCCATGAGGTGATGGGAAAAATGTGTATCTTTTCTAAACAAATTCTTGACACTGACTTGGCCACGGCCAGAGTTTTCCAACGCCGCAGCCTCTCTGCTGACTGTTTATGGCAGGCAGCGTGTTTATCTCTCTTCACAGCGCGTTCACGGGGACGGGGAAAAAGAACTGCCTGCCAAGTCCCAGCGCGCTCTGAGCTCACAGCTGGTGGGAAAGCAGAGAGCAGCTGGAAGGCTGAAGCAGGCAGCGACCCTGCCAGACGCCTGCAATGCTGTGGAGGAAAATGCCTGTGTTCCCAGCTACGCTGAAAAGGGCTCCTTCTGAGACTCAGTCTTTCCTGAGCACAGGAAAACAGGCAGAGAACACAGCGACGCTCTGGGTCTTCTTCTTGGGGGTAAAAATGATTTCTGGTGTCACCGCACACGTGTGGACTATGAGGTCTGACCTCACCAACTACTTGGCTCAGGCCCAGCAAGGAGCTTCCGAGGCTGGTTTCTGGCTTTTTGTGACAAGAGGAGGAGGCAACATGGCCAGGCCCCAGCTCACTGCTGGATACCTGGCTTTCGGCCAGGAAACACTGGCGGGATTTTTCTGTCCCTCCCTTCATTGTGTTTTTAGGCCTTCTGTCTGCAATAGTTATTCCACCTTCTTAGACATAAGTACCAGCACGGCCGTCTCTGCTTCGAGGGCCACGGAGGAGCTGATGCAGGATGCACGTAGCATGGAGTTGTGGGGAAAGCCCTGGACCTGGAATCCAAAGAGCTGAGCTTTTGATCTGTACCTCCCGCTGAAGTCAGGAAAAATCTTGTCTCAGGGCAACTGTATGCTTTCTAGGGATTCTGCTGTTTCAACTGTGATATTTGTGAAGTCGTTTGAAAAAGCATGAAATAATTACTAGTCTAAAACATTATATGCTTTCTCTAACATGCCAAATAAGCAGTTTCTAATTCTTTGGCTTTTATCCAATTTATCTAGAATAAAATCAAGACCTTCAGGGAGAAGAATATCATATGAAACAGGATTTTATGTCAGAAAACCCAGAGAGAAGAAACACGGTAGTAAAAATGACAATAATAATGCTAACCTTGTACTTGCATTAACATTACACTAAGTTTTATAAAAACAACCACTTACATAGCCCTTCACTATCAGCCAGTGTGAAGTACTTTGCATATAGCTCATTCAGTTCTCTCAAGAACCCCATAAAGTAGGTCCTATTACTATGATCTTTATTTCATACATTAGGAAACTGAAGCCCAGAGAAATTGATACCTTGCTCAAGGTCTCCCAGCTAGAAAATGGTGAGCACAGACAGGCAGCAAACTTACACCGTAACCACTGCACACGCTGCCTCCCACCATCCCGCCCTCTCACACGTGCTGCCTCAGTCTTTCAGAGCAAAAGACCACCTTACCTCTTGAGGCGGAATATCGAATGAGATGGTCCTCATGTCCACTTTGATGAAGCTGTCAGTGCATGGCAGAACGAAAAACAAACCTGCAACCAAGACCCACAGAAGATTATGGGGAGAGATCAGCACCTGATCGGTTTACCTTCCATTCAGTTCTCACAGCCTCAACCTCATCCACTATAAGTGATCGGTTCGTCTCGGTGAAGGAGCCAAAAGCTGGGAATGTTATCCTTTACTCCTCTGGCTTCTGCCCCAACCTGAGCCGTCCTCGCCCAGGCCTGTGGACTTCGTTGCCTTTCTCCACTGTGACTGTCATTGTTTTCACTTAGACCTGTGCAATCCCTTCCCAAGTCATCTTTCTGTTCCTTCCAGTGTCTCTCCTCTGGTCTAGCTCCTAAGCTGCAAGCAGAGCGTTCTTTCCTGAAATACAAACCGCTGAACGAGCCAAACGAGGTCTGCGGGGCCTGCCCCCGTGGCGTACCTCTTCAGCCGCCCTCTCTCCTCCCGTCCTCCACTCTGGGCAACACGCAGTTCCTTCAATCTGGAATACTCTCCTCTATACTGCCCTGCACAAGTTGCTCTTTCTGGCAGGAATACCTTCCCTAATACCTTTTCATGCCTCAAGATTCAGCCAAGTCCCCTCCACAAAGCCTTGTCTCATCCTACAAGTTTGGGTCAGGCACTCTTCTCTGGGTTTCCACCGCTATTTAGATCATACTGCTCATCACACAGAATTGCAACAATCTGTTTCCTTGTTGGTGTCCCACCACTAGACAGTAAGATCCTTGAGGGCAGGAACTGTGTTAGAGCAGGTCTCCCAGCCTCCAGGCCACTGGCCATTATTGCTAGGGACCTGTTAGGAACCGGACCACACAGGAGGAGGTGAGCCTGAATGAAATGCACTTGAATCATCCTGAAACCATTCCCCCACCCAAGTCCATGGAAAAATTGTCTGCCACAAAACTGGTCCCTGGTGCCAAAAGGCTGGGGATTGTTGTGTTAGACTTTCCAGTGAATTCCCAGAGCCTGGAAGCTAGGAGATTAAATGAAGTATGCTGAAAAGCAACTCAAAGCCTTTATTCTATTTTATTTTAATATATATATATATATATATATATATATATATATATATATATATATTTGGATTTTATTTATTTATCTTTAGGGGGGAAGGGAAGTAGAGAAATATCAATGTATGGTTGCCTCTCGTGAGTACCCTGCTGGGAACTGGCCCGCAACCCAGGCATGTGCCCTGACTGGGAATCAAACCACTGACCTTTTGGTTCACAGGCTGGCACTCAATCTACTAAGTCACACCAGCCAGGGTTCAAAGCCTTTGTTTTCATAGGGATTCTCATGCTTAAACTCACATGGCTGTAGCTATTCCTGGCCTACGACAATCTTATCAGCTCAAATGGGAAGGGGAGGGGAGAAGGAAGGACAGAGTGGTTACAGCAAGACTGGCTAGCACCCCTGCTATTGTTACACTACGTCTGCTACGTGAAGAACTGCTTTCTAAGTCAACAGAACCCCACGAGGGAAGTCACATCAGTAAAAGAAAGAATTTCAGTCTCTAGGCAAACTATCTAGAATCCCAGTACTGACCAGGTCCTTTGGCTCCGCCTTGTAAAATGCGACCCAATCGAAAGATGATGGCTCTTTCATATTCTTTTATGATCTAGATTAAAAACATAAACAATAATTTAAGTACAAATATTTACATGCACAGCTTTTTAAATGTTTCTGCTCTAAAGAGGTTACATGACTCTATTTTCTTCCCTATAATTGGATTATATCTACAAATAATATTTCTGAGCATCAATACCTCCACCAAATATGACATTTATTTCCTTTTTTTACTAATTATAAATGCAATAGTTATTTATTTTATAAAATTTGGAAAGTATAGAATAGTATACAGAAGCAAATCATAACTTCACTCCTCAGCTATTAACATTATTATTCAATTGTGCATTGTTAACATAGGGAAAAAAAAGCTAAAGTCTCACAGTTTGTCTCCTGATTTCTTAAATTATAATAATAATTTTTAGAGAACACTTATCTTTCTAGAAATATATAAGTGACAGTCATCTATTAAAGTATTAATCACTTTATAGAAGAATAACCAGCATTTGGGAAGCACTCATCATGAGCCAAGCACTGCGATAAGTACTTTTAAACACATTAACTCATTTAATCCTCACAAAGGCCCGTTTTACAGGTGACAAAGGTCGCACCTCGGCCAGTGGAGCCAGCAGTCAACCTCAGCATCCCGACTCTGGAGAGTTTCACGGGACCGCCCCGCATTCGCAATGCCAGAACACCGTCATGGCAACCGTGTCTAATCCTCAGGAAGGACTGACTAAACTGGCTGAGAACTGGTAAGATTCCATTGTGATAGGTGACTGGAGTGAATTTCCGAAGGAGAGACGGAGGGAAAAGAAGGACAGGCCACTGCAACCTCGTCTCTCCCACACATGTGCACACACAAAGTGGGTTTCTGCGGCTGGAGCTGACACTTTTCCAGATGCGAGTGAAATATTCTTTACCTTTATGCAAAACCATATTGACAGTGGAAAAGTTGCAAGTGTGAACAAGAATGAGAAAAACACCAAAATCCATCCACAAATTCCAAGGCCTGTGTAGGGGGTCTCTGTGAAAACAAAAAAATACACAGCTCTTATCATCATTACCAGCACACTCGCCACCATCTCCATCCTCACTGTTCACCGAACACCTATGCCTGACATTATGCTGGATGTTCCACGTGAACCTTCCCATCTACCCACATAGAGACCTTAAGTGGAGGTTTTCCTAATCTAATTAACATAACACAAGTATTTTTCACAGTATTCTTTTTAATTTAAAAAATGTGTGTGTTGATGTGAGTGAGAGAGGAAGGGGACAGAGAGACAGACAGACAGAGAGGAGCATCAATGTCAGACAAACACTGATAAGTTGCCTCCCACAGGTGCCCAACTGGGGGTTAAACCTGCAACCTAGGTGTGTGCCCTGACCGGAAATCGAACCCCAACCTTTAGGTGTATGGGACAACACTCCAACCAACTCAGCCACACGGGCCAGGGCCACATTATTCTTTTCTCTACCCAGCAAACATTTACGAAGCACCTAACATTGATTATGCCCTGTGCTTTGCACTGAAGTTGTAAAAGTGAGTGAGATCCAATCCCACCTATCAGGAAGGTTAACATTTAATGGGGAAGGTAAACAGTTTGGTTGTCAGAGGGCTTTCTTGTGGGATGTAGTTTCAAGAAAATACCAGTGAAAATAAAGGGGAAGGAAAAGGGCATTTAAGGTACAGCATAATTAAAGATGAAAACCATATGTGATATGATGATAAGCTCATTTAGAGCTTCTTTTTAAAAATGACACCTGTAAAATATTTCACTAGGAAGATGCACCATAATTTATTAGCCAATTCCTTACCTATCCTTTCAATTGCACCATAATTTTGGTTAGATTAATATAAATTTTGTATCATCATGAATGCAGAAATACAGTTCAAAGCTAAGCCATGTCATGAAGCATATTTTTCCTTTCCCGTACAACTGTTTTTTCTCTTTTGGGAGTCAATGCCTTGTATTTTCCCTTTGATTAGTTTTCAATGCACTTACTAATTTAACCTCAAACTTTTCACCAATCGTCCGACTCTTTCGGAAGGGTCAGATGCGCTATGAATTTCATCCTCCGACAAAGCGTCTGTCTCGGAGCCATGTCTGGACTCCCCCTGTTGGTGGGTGCGTCCAGCTGCCCGTGACTGCCTTTCACTAGCATCCTGGGAAATTCCCTCCCTTCCCGTATCCACTGTCTTCCTCGTTTTTAGTTTGTTTTTCCTTTTTTGTGAAGGACAGAGGGACTGCCTAGGCCAAGAGATACTATCGCTTTTCTTATCGACCACAGAAGACTTCTGCTCTATTTCCAGGAATTGTTTTAATAACGGAAGATGGGCAAGAGGGGAAGAGATGTGCCAGGCACAGATCACTGCTCAGAAGACAGGGCAAAGATGGCGGTGAGACGGGGCTTGGAATAAACAGGAGGCCAAAAAATAAGCAGAGTTAAGGCTGGGGAGCATGGGAGAAAGAGAGACGCAGGTCAAGGGCTCCAAAACCCAGGGTGAAAAACCAGAAATACCGAGTACTTTGGTTACTTGTGACTTCATAGTCTTCTGATCCTGTGCCATAGTGTGAGGTAAACATCCTTATGCATATCCAAATGAAAGTGACCTCAGTTAATTCTGGAGGTTACTAAGTTATGATTTGGGGGTATACCACATTCACCAAGAGAATATTCCAGGCAAGGCCACAGTGCTGTCGTGGGGAAGCCTCAGTCAGATATTATGTCGGTAACTGATAATAATCACAGCGGTCATTTTTAGATGGTTCATTATGCATCAAGTGCACTGGGCTAAATTACTTTAGATGTGTATCTAATGTACTGCTCACAAAGCCCTGAAAAGTACTTTTAATTCCACTGTACAAACGAAGTAAACGAAGCAACGTGACTTTCCCAACGTCAGACAACGGAGGCCCTGGGATGCAAACACAGGTCATCTTGCGCCAGAGCCCATGTTCTAAATCAATTCACTCTGAGCCTCTACCTCTGAATTAAAAAAAAATCCCCATTAAAGAAGTTTGGGTTTGGAGCACTTCCTGAAGTCCATATTCAAACTGGGAAAGCAAGGCAGGAGTTCTAAGAGTGAAATCTGATATTTCTACAGAGGAAGTCCTCTTAATTCCAGCTGTCTATTTATAGAAAAAGCCAGTCTCAAGGCTCTCTGCCGGACTCTGGCCTAGGTTTCCCAAGTGAAATGAAGTCCAGACAAGGAACAGATTGGCCGCAGAGGCTTACCCGACAGCTTTTTAAAAGACCCCTGTACCGCCCAAGTCTCCCGTGTCTCTGTCCCGAATGTGCTGGAATACAAACTCCCTGAGGGCAGGGACGTTTATTACTCATTTGTATGTTCCCAATGCCTGGCCCAGTAACCGGCATACGGTGGGACTAAAATAAAATCTCACTAAGCTGTCCAGCTAGATGTGCTCTTCCTTCCCCTGAATCTTGATAGCACTTCTTAAGCCTCTCTCACGGCACTTACATTTTGCCTACTACTTTAGGGTATTTATATCCCATATTAAATTGAGATTTCCTGAGAATAGGGAGCATCTCAGTTTCCATTTAAATTCTGCTACTTCTTAGTTGTGTGACCTTCACCTCTTTGAACCGTAGTTTCTCCCCCTATAGTACAAGGATAACTGACTGGTTTTATAGGGTTGAAGTAGGGCTTATTAAATACGGAAGGCAGTTTTCTGTAATCCCCGTTTTACTCAAGTGTTCACACTCTCGCAATATAAATGAGAAAATAAGCAGCACTTACCCTCTGTGATAAAGGCTCTTAAACTACTTAATTTCCCCCTCACCTCATGCCCCCCTCCTGCCAGCCTAGGCTTAGACATTCAAAGACCCTCAAAGAAGTTCATTTATGTATCGAGTCACTAAATTATTGGATTGTTATCTACTTGAAGAAAAGTTACAGAGCGTAGCCCAGGTTTTCATTTCTTGTGCTTAGTTTCCATTGCCGTATTATGCTTTCGAGAAGCTCAGATGGGTACACGGAATTACACATCAAGAGGAACACTTCATTAAGTGGATATTCTGAAAACTGGGCCTGGTCTTTCACCAGAGTGTTTACACTGGGGGAATGGCATCATTTTTCACATTGTTCTAGTGCCTTTAACATAAAACTATCCTATTTCCAACTCTCAAAATTCTTCCCCACTCGGTTATAGCTTTAAAATGTACTCAAATCACATTCCTCAGAGATGAGGTTTAAACTCCACCCGGCCATAAATGAACCCTAGTCATCTACCACTTACTGGCTAAATGTCAACATATTCATATCTGAATGATAATATTGAATGATATTCCATTTTCTCATATAATGAATATTTTGGCTGTGTCCAATCTTCTCAATTAGAAACTGCTGCACTGAATATACTTTTAGCAAAGTTTCCATAATCCTTATTATGTACACTAATTTTGCTGCAAAGATGAAATTGTGTTATTCTTAAGTTTATCTTATTCTGGGGGTATTTTTTACTACCACTAATAAAAGCCATTTACTGAATGTTTATTACATGTCGGCACCAAGCCCTAGCTCCTTATATATATTATTTCTCATGTTTACAAAAATCTGTAAAGTAAGTATAAAATATTGCCCCAGGGCAATAAAGCAAAATATTATCTGCCCTGGCTGGTGTAGCTCAGTGGATTGAGCACGGGCCTATGAAGCAAAGGGTCGCTGGTTCGATTCCCAGTCAGGGCACATGCCTGGGTTGCAGGCCAGGTCCCCAGTAGGGGACACATTAGAGGCAGCCACACATTGATGTTTCTCTCCCACTCTTTTTCCTTCCCTTCCCCCCCTCTAAAAATAAATAAATAAAATATTTTTTAAAAGATTTTCTGGGAGGAAACAAAAGAAAACAAACATGAAACAAATGATACAAACATGTTATACAGTAATTTTCTTTTGGTTAGCTTCCGGAAAAGCAGTAAAATATTCTTTTTCTTTTTTTTTTTGAAGATTTTATTCATTTATCTTTAGAGGGGAAGGGAAGGAGAGAGTGAGAAAAGTATTGATGTATGATTGCCTCTTGTGTGTCCCCCGCTGGGAACTGGCCTGCAACCTAGGCATGTGCCCTGACTGGGAATCGAACCGTAATCCCTTAGTTTGCAGGCCTACGCTCAATCCACTGAGCTACACCAGTCAGAGAGCAGTAAAATATTCTTTTCAAGATGATAACAGGCATAATTTCAGAGCACTGCATGGCATTAATGACCTCATGTCAGCTGATTTACATTAAAGAGGTCTTCTGAACTTGGCCCTGGGTACTGGGACTCATGTGGAATAAAATCATACATTCCATTTATTAATGAGCCTTTATTCTGTGTAAGTGTAAAAAGTACTGGATCTCCTCTTCAAGGAAAGACCAGGAACATGCCTTACCTGAAAGTCTGACTCAGATTCATACGCAACACTACACACACACACAGATGAATTAGACAAAGAAAGACCGAAATACCTAAACAGCAACCTGTAAAGACAATCTTTTTCTTCCTCCTTCCCGGAATATAAGTGAAACACTTCAGGTTGTAAATTTCCAAGAACAGTCTGAGTGGGGAAAGGCAGGGTGGCTAGGAACTAACTCGGTGTGGTTTCTGAGAGCTCTTTTTAAGGGGCAACAGTAGGTCAAGTGGCAATTTTTGAATTTTTCTTAAAAGCATATACATTCAGGATATGTGTTCTTTTTGACCGGTACTATTCCTCATCAGAAACTCTATGTCAGGATTTGGCAAACCTTTCCTGTGAAGGATGAGAAAATACAAATTTTAGGCTTGGTGGACCTTCAGCCTGTCACAACTACCGAATACTGTGCCACTGTAGTGCAGAAGTGGTCACAGACAACAACACTGCACGAACGAGCAAGGCTGAGTTCCAATAAAACTTGCTTCTGGGCACTGAAATCTACACCTTGTGTCACTTTCATGTGCAACAAAATCTTCTTTAAAAAAATTATAAAGTAAAAACGAGGTGTAGCTTGTGAGCCATACAAAAACAGGCAATTGGGCAGATTTCGA